CCCCCGGCTGCCAGGGCGGTGCCGTCTCTGCGGCAGAGCGCCGTGCCGAGACAACAGGATTAGCATCGATTTGCTGGCGAGCAGCAGCCCCAGCCCGGGTGCTCGCACGCTTCCCCGCGCGGCCGCAGGCTGGGAGCACCCGCTGCGGGCAGCACCGCTCTGCGCCCGCCTTCCCTCGCAGCCCCATCCCCACGCTGCAATATCGGCCTCTCTTCCTCTGCCCGGCCACCGCTGCATCCTTTTGCAGCATATCTCAGCCCCGCGTTGCCCCAGCTGCTGGCGAAAAGAGGGTCGAAAAGCAGGTCGTCACCCAGGTGCGCCGTGCAGCTTTGGGAGCCGAGGCTCCACAGGCTCATCACCTCCCTACTGCTGCGTTAGCTTTTTGGATACAGCTGTTGTAGAACCAAGGTGTTTTCTTACAGAGGGAGAAAAAAAAAAAAAGCATCCCTTGGACCAAAGGAGGTTGTCACACTGCCCCACGGCTCGCTGGCTCCAGTAGGTAACGTCTAGGCAACTCCTAGATGTCATGGAAAGGGAAAATGGAAGGGGGTAAACTTGCAAACAAGGCAACTCCTGGCACGTGTGCTGCGTTACGGGAGGGAGAGGTGCCTGCAGCCTGGAGGGAGCTCACATTTAAATTGCTTTTCCTTTTCACAGTGGCTCTGTCCCCGTTACAGCATCCAAGGGGTCACATGGAAAGGAAGAACCAGCCCGTCTGATGGGGGCTGCAAAACAGAGCTCTCCCATGCCCGCCCGAAGCCACCTGCTAACCCCCTGCCAAAGCAGAGGCTGTGTAGTTGCAAGCGATTTCAAAGAAGTGCTGGAAAGGAGGCACTTCAAAATTTTTAATGATGCATGTTCCCCATCGGCTGCACTCAGAACGGGAAGCCTTTAAAGTCGGGCTCGCTTTGATTAGACAATAGACCCGGAGAGCAAAACGCTCCCCCTCCTCCTTCACCACCATCCACCTTCCTTCATCCCTCTCTCACGCCAAAAAGGGCTGAATTTAGAAGCATGAAACCATGAATTGCAAGGAAGGGATGGTGGACGTGGCCTGACAGCAGAGCAGCTGTCTGGCTAGCAGGCGTATGAAGTCAGGAGACACCTTTGGCTAACAGATGGGTTTCAGATGGGGGACGGGCGCCCCATCCATTCCCAGTTCATATCCCGTCATTTTCTGCGGTACAGCAGCTCTTGTGCTGCCACACAGAACCAGCACGTTTTCCCTATCACAGCTGCACGACCAAGACCAGAGAGAAAATCTGGGCATCTCTCTCAGCTTGCTTATCCTTAACAGCTTCCCGTGGTGCTGGTGGGTTGCAGTAGTTCAGACCCAACCTCTTAGAAAGCTTTCCTTCTTTTTTTTTCTATTTTTTTTCTGGGTTTTCTAAACCCAGCTCTGCCAAGTTCATCAGTACATGCTGGCTTTCTACTTGCCACTCAGCACTGAGGACACATTTAACCTGGTTGAAGTAATTTGACATCTTTCTCCAAGAGGGACAAATGCTCGGGAAACACGAAGAGCCCCTGGCTCCAGCTGACTCCAAATAGTTCTGTTTAGAAGTTGCCTGTCGTATTTTTTAAGCTGTTAACGTCCCATTAAAAGTGTCCCATTAAGCACCGCTCTGCTTGAGCTGGCTGACGCACTGGCCCACGGCTCTCAGAGGGAGCAAAACAGATGTACCGCTGGAAGGAACTCTCTCCCATTATGGTAAGTTTTCCAAAACCCACTAGTTGTGTCCCTAAATAGTTTCCTCCCATGAACAGCGAGATGGTGTCAGCTGCTTTTTTTAAACGAGCATCAGAAAATAGCAGAACACTGCAAATGGCAGCTATAAATGCCAAGCAGAGGCTGGAGTGGTGGGGTCCTGCGGAGAAGCACCACGAGGTCTGTGCCAAGAGGGGGAACGCATCCAGGTGGACCCCACCGGTGCTGATCCTGCGAGATCCCGCAGCAGCGTTGCAGAGCAGCCCAGATAAGGCTTCGAGACCTTCCCTTCCCTTGCAAGCCTGGCAAGTCGCAGGGAGGGAGAAGGTACTTATTCCAGCTGAGAGCAACCAGAACATCCTTACGGAAAGCTGTTCTTCAGGCTTCTCCCCCAACCCCACGCAGTCTCGTGCAGGGAGGCAGGCACAAAGCTATACTGCAGATGGGCCAACATTTCCCAGCAGGGCTCAAAGGCAGCATGCGTCCCCTCCACGCACCCCTGCTCCAGCCCAGCCCTCCTGACTATTGCCTTAGCATTGAGAATTAAGTTAAGTTGTGCAAGCCACCACCTCCCCCTGCACACCGAAGGAGGGCCGCGTCAGCCCTTGCAGAATTTGGGCACGTTTCTGAAATATTAGTGTCAATGGATATCTGGAGTGCTGCAATTTGTTTTGGTTTTGTTTTTTTGTTTTTTGTTTTTTTTTTTTTTGCTGCAGGGTGTTCTGCAAATATCGTTTTGTGTGCACAGCAAGCCAAGATGAAGAATAGCTCACACCAGGAGGAAACAAAAGGCTAATGATGTGGAGAGCCCGGACAGACAGCGATGATAAGAGACAATTCATTTGCATGGGTTTCGTGCAGGCGCCTCAAGACTCGCACACAAAAAAGGCCTTTTGTTGCCGCCGAGCGTAACTGAGCTTCGACGAGCATCTGGCAGGGTTAAATGCGTGGCCCTGTCCCCAGGGACGCTGGCACTCCCCGTGACCACATGCATCGCTTGTAGGGGAAGGTGGGTCTGCCAAACTAGAAAGGTCCTTGACTCCAAATAAAAAAACCTTTTAGATGCTACAAGTCAGGCAGCTTCGTAAAGCAAAGGAAGGCAGGAGGCAGCTCCCGCCCCGGCAGCGGCTCTCCAACATGTTCCTGGCAAACCAGGAAGCCACTGTGATTTCTAGGACCACAAGTCACACCGCATTACACAGCGCCAGCCCTAGATTAACCTGCACTGAGCGTTGGCCAAAACCAGGACAAAGCAAGTTACAAGACCACATAAAAACACAGGGCTGGGCTGAAGCACAACTTTTTCCTCCCTTCTGTTACCCAGAACAAGGAAAAGAGACCATTTTTCTGAACATTGCCCGCATAGGAACAAGGCTGTCTAAATATGCCATGAGCATAGATGAAAGCCCATCATGTCGGCTGTTTCCAATTCTGGAAAATAACCCGTTGGATAGGAGCTGTTTCAACCCTGCTGAGTGCAGGCTAGGGATGCTAGAACAGCTATTAATGAAAATGGAAGTGGTTTTCAATTAAAAAAATAAACTACGACAACAGGTTTTTAGATCAAAAGAAGCCTTTTCTCAGAAAGTATTCTGTTTGGGCAAAAATATTAATAAATCAGGCTGAAAAAAAAATGCTGCAGTAAAAATCATTTTGTTCAGCACAAGTTCTCAGCTTGGATTGTGTTCCAAGGACGTGGGGTTTTAAACATCAATTTCTCTTTTATTGAAAAAGACATTGGGAAACTGAAGAGGTTTTCATGCAGATGGTTTGTATCCCCCCCCACCAGGTGAAGACTGGAAAAGTGCAAAGTCTGCTTTGAAAACTGGGTGGCTTCGTTCAACCGTGGCTGCTCTCGACTGGTCTGAAAGTCGAGATAGCAAACTCCCAGGCAAGGAGGCAGCGATGGGGCTGACCACGCTGAGAGCAGGGCTTTATTTTGTGCATTGTATTAGTCTGCTTTAACGTTTGAATGATGCTTTAAGGATTTCAGCCTCCTTGGGGACAGCAACATGCGGGGCAG